CATGTGATCCCCTCAGCTAAGGCTGGAATTTGTAGTTCTTGGGAAGCAATTAGAGAACTCTCCGCGGAAACATCATCCAAGGAAACATGGGGCGTTTGGGAATCAGAAACCAAAGCAACATTAACCTTTTTCTTGTTGCTAGGATTGCTATCATCCTGCTCATGATGTTCTTGCTTGGCTGAACAATCCACATAGGGCTTAGTTTCAACCTCGGGTGTAATAGAATGCTCTAATTTCAATACCTTTTGTCTTGCACCTGCTGAAACAGAGATACAAAATTAGAAAACAGGAAATTTAACACATGGTTTGCAAGAAGGAAAATATATTGCGCTAACTTAAACCTGTATCAGCAGCACTGTCTCCCTTAGCATTTTCTTGGTTCAACAGCTGTTTCTGTAACATATCTATACCAGGGAACACCAACATATTCATGGACCTCATTTCCTTCTTAAGTGAATCCTCAAGAGGAGTGAAACCAAAAACTTCTGTCCATGCATGCATAAACTCAGCAATAGCAGGGATAACCAGATTCTCAACTTTGAGAGTGCAGAGAGCCTTCAAAAGAAAAATCCATCACCATGTATGCAAGAAAGCAGGTATCCCAGTCTAAAGAGAAAAGTTGCAGAAGGCTTTATTGTGCATTTTCCCTTACAAATGAAGCGAATAGAACATTCTAATAGCTTACCGACTCAATAGCACCAAAAAGCCGACGGCACATTCCTTGGCGCCTGTATATATGACGAGTTCCTATGTATGGCATCTCTGCTAACTTAGTCCCATGGAACCTATCAAGAAGCAATTGATGTAATGTCAAGAATTTATATGTATGCTAATGTACAAACAGAAACCAATATGCTTGTTGGTATAATGTATTAAAAACCTACTTATCAAAGAACTCAGAACTCCAATGGAAAACGTGGTTGCCATACCAGGTAGATATACAGTCAGATGTCTGTACACTATCAGCCACAATAATCTCATGGGGAAACTTATTAGTTTTATCGTCTTTGGAACAAAACTATCCTCAACATTGTTGCACATTTACCTCTCTGCCTATCTTATCTTCCTATTTGTTTTCACATATTTGAGAATAGAAGAGATAAATCTTTTTATCCTATAAGTTTAAGGGAAATGATATTGGCAAAAAAAATTTATATTATATATTAGTGACAAATTATGACAATAAATTTAGTCATATTGTTCCCTGTTGTTACTTTGTAAATTTTTAGCTTTAAGCACTAATTTTAACAAATAATTGATCAGCTTATCTCGAGCCTATACGCCAGAAAAATTTTAGTAACTCAAATTATTTCAGCTTAAAGCTCCTTGGAGTTTTAGGCTAAATAAATTTGAAGCACTAAAAAATAAGTCAATTCAAACAGGCATCAGTATGATAATGACTGGCTTGAAGGAAAAACAAAAAAGGGCGGGAACTTGACCTGGGACCAATTAACCTACTTTGGGCATTTATTTTAAAAGAATTAGTACAATATTAAAGGCACCAAGGAGGTGCAATCCGTATATAAAAACTTTACAAGTTTATCAACATGTTAATCAAATCCCCTAAATCGTCACAAGAGTAAAGAGGATCACCCTTAATAAAGAAACTTATGGTCTGAAACCAAGTATCCTTTACTCTATCAAAAGAAAATTCTATGTCCTCAAAACCAATTCTATTTCTTTCCTTCAAAATAACCTATTAAGTAGTCAGAGGAATATAACTAGCTCTCTTTTTCAAAGATTTATCCCCGTGCATACCTCTGCAAACCCAAATCTCCCCCTAAGTTAATCTACTTTTGGCATAACATAGATTTTATATGATTTATTCCCATGACATTGACTTATGCTTCTGTTTTTGCCAGCAAGTTCATTTCCTATAAGGGGCCCTCCTTTCCACATAATTCAGGTGTTCATTAATAACATATGCTCCTGTTTTTCTTTTTCTTTGTTTTCCTTTTGTTCCTGAGTTATTTCTTCAACATATACTCCCTGTTTAAAACAATTAAATTGATAGAAAATGGCATTTGAATGAACATGAAGTTTCTTAGAAGAAAAATCTGTGTGATATTGAACATCACAACAAGGTACCACACCCCTGTACAAAGAAAGAAAGGAGCACACATTTGCTAGAATATCAACAAGGTCCTTTAAAATCCCCGTAGAAGAAGGAGAATGATCCTGAAACAAAAAGCAGAAGGCCTATCTCCTAGCAAAAGAAGTGCAACAACAGCAAAATCCACTTCTATTTCTTTCCTTCCCCCAAATTCCAAAATAGAATGAACATGAAGTTATTAAGCATATTACCTGATAGATGCTGCAGAAATTATTTCATCCTCCTTCTCCAGAATAGCAGTATAGAAGCCACTGTACTTTAGCCGATTGAAGTTTGATCTTGAAAAGGAAAAATAAAAGAGAAAAATATGTGAATAAAAGGAAATGACATCGACATAATCTCACAAAAGGCTTATTATAATTAAGAGCTCAATAATGCTATGCATGTACTCTCTCATGCATGTGAAAACATACACGCAGAGAGTAGTATAGAGAGATATCAGCATAACTGAGGAAGCTAAAAATTTTATAGCACCTGTAAAACATGTAATGACTTACAAAACATCCACTCTTCATGAATCTGAAAGATAAACCACCTAAAGTAAAAGCTAAAATAGGCTAACATTAATTCTCCAACTCAGTTTCAGCAATTAAGGAGAATTCTCATCTATCTAGTGCTGTACAAGGGCTTGTAAATTAAAGAAAAAAACTAGTGAACCATTATACCCATATCTTACCAATGCCAACATGGGAAGAACAAAATTCATTAGTGGAGGCAGAGGGGAGGTCTAATTTTTCAACCAAATAGAGAAGACACTTACCCACAGTTATAAAGAACATTATGAATTAAATTGATCCCACTTCTCCTATCAACAATTGGGAGAAAGCATTCATCCATGATAGTCAATGCTACTGCAAGTTTGGAATTGTTCTCCACTCTCTGAGGCAGGCTTCGAGAAGATAACTCTGGATCTGTGTCTACTCTATGAATAAGAGACCATGAAAATCCTGCTTCTAGTTCATGTTTAATGCCAAGATACTTCTGCAAATGTTCAAAAAGCTGCCAGAACAGAGAAAAATGCATGTGAACCACATCATACAACTTACCACGTAAAGTCAACCTACATTGCAGCCACTCCTCCATAAATAGGAGGTGGCATTTGAATATTCTTCCAAAAAATTCAAAGTTGAGACTTTGCAAGACAACAATCTAGTGCCACAGCTTAATTTTAAAAACAAGAGATGTCCAGAAACCAAAATTTTGACATTAAGGTTGTCTAGAAGACACTGCTAAGAATATACATGCATCAATAATGGCAGTGCATAACCAAACAAAAAAATGTAAGAATATTGGCGAAAATAATCATTATATGTAAGAATATGTAAGGTGTTCCAGAACTGCTTCTTTTGCTTGGAGAATGACTTGGGGAACAATTTTAACCACAGAAAACTTGAAGAAAAGATGGAAAATCATTGTCAAAAGATGCCCTTTGTGCCTATAGAAGTATGGATTCCCCAACTATTTCCTTCTTCAGTATTCAGAGACTAGAAGATTCTGAGATTTTACGCTTGGCCTTTACAACTTGGCTTCTGCTTACTTTAGGGGTTGGTTGAAGAGAAGCTTCAGGCTTAGTCGAGGTTTGCAAATCTAGAAAAAGGCTATATAATCTTATCCATGTCTTTTTTTTTTTCTCTCTTTTTTCCTTCATTTGGAGAAAAAGAAAACAAGAGAGGTTTTGAGGACACTTGTTCTCCTTTTCCTAGAAATAGAGATTCTTGATTTCTTTTCATGAGTATTTTGTTGGCAGGATCATGTCCGTGGGAGTCCCATGGGTTTGAGCAGACTTGTAGACTCTTTGGTTTTTCTGTTTTTTTTTTAATTTTTTTTTGGTAAATCCCTTGTGCATGGTTTGCATCCTAGGAAGGAGAATAAATCAATTAGTTTGATCTCATTTGTACCATCTATGCAAACCAAACCTCTACAAGTTTCTAAAATATTCAAGCTACATCATATGATTTTAACGTAAATAATTTGGTTTAGTATGGTTTGATCTAAAATGACTTTCTTACATTTTTTTTTTTTTTTAATTTCTGTCAGTTCCACAGTACAGCATTAACTTGCATTCATGATAATGTATCTTAAAACAATATTCATGCAAAATAAGCAAGTTTTATTTACAAATTAGGGAAAAAAAAAAAAAAAGTTACATATACATCTATTTCAGGTATTTAGGACAAAAAAGCCAGCTATTTTTAGTTAATAGTTTATGCTATATATTATTTTTTAAGTATATTAATATGAATTTCAATTTAATTTGGTTTAAAAATTTTCCAAACCAAATAAAACATTCTGGTTTTTTTCCAATCAAAACCAAAATTTGGAGATCAAAAACCAAATCAACTCGAATCATTTTGGTAGTCTGATTTGGTTTTTTCAGTTTGAACGAAATAACTTACGCCTCTAACCCAAGTGCCCGTTAATGATACTCTTTTTTTTATATAAAAAAAAACTTTACCTATTTATTTCTCATCCAAAAATATCACAAGCCACTTGTTTCAATAGCATAGAATAAAGCATAAAAAAAATCCAAAGACATGTATTGTATAGGGATAAGGCAACCAACAAGAGTGAAAAATCCAGAACAAACTGATATATATATATATATATGTATTGAGAAACACTCACATAAAAATTCTTTTCATGGATTGAATGGTAATGGATGAAATCTAGGCTAATAAAATTTCAGAAGGTTGTAAAGAGTAAGTACCCCTCTGCACTTTTGCCCACAAAAAGAAGGGATTGAATCAGCAGGAAGGGAATCCATCTCTGGTATGCATGATCTGTGACCTATGAATTGGTAAATTAAATGACAATCAGATGTTCATGCAAAGAAAAACAATAAAAAGATAGCATTAATGCAAGTCAAAGTCAAACCAAGGAAAGGAGCAACATACATTTTTTGTCACACATCCTGCAAGTGAATAATTCATAGACAGTTATATCATCGGCTGGTTCAGTAGCATCCCCGTGGGCTATCCCACAAAATTTGCATGTACAATTTGGGCAGTGCCAATCACCCTGGGGAAGGATCTGCAATAAAAAGGAAGATAAGAATAACTCAGGACAACTGGATCCAGACCATGGTCACAAGAAATCCAAAGAAAGTAAGAACCTAAGGTAACAGAAAAAAAAGAAAAAAAAGGTCCGAAGCAATCTAATCTAAGTCACTTCCAAGGGGAAGCTGAATCACCCAGGTTTTCCCAACTCATTTAGAAAATCACATTCAAATGATATCAATTGTTTTCCAAGGGCACCTGCAAGGAAATAATTAATTCATCACAAAAAATTAATTACTTCATTGTGAAAGAACTCACTGCAAATATGAAACACCAGATTATTGGACTTTAGTACAATGTAAGTTAAGTGTCTCAAAATATCTAATGTGTTGGCTAAAAAAAACTAAATTACAAAAAATCCAATGCCCTCAAGAGGAAAAGAAAAGGAATTAAAAGAAAGGAAAATGAAAAAAAAAGGCCAAGTAAGCCACATGTATACAAAAAAAATTACAAAGATAGACCTGTATATCAAGGCAGCTCTGGTGAAATGTGGATGGACAACCATCACAACAGATCAAATCACCACCATCTCCACAGATGCCACAAGTATCATCATTAGGATCATCACCATCAATATCAACAGAGTGGAAACCAAAGTGCTCAGAGCCTTCTTGCCTATTCCATGCATCTATTTGGCACTGCAGAAGAGATATGCCAGACTCCAAATATATGTTCTGAAATGGCTGACGCAACTTGCTTCCAGCATGAATCTCAAACTTTGAAACTGTGAGGATTTTACTACAGCAACCACAGTGGATGCCCTCTCTTGTAATCCAGCCTTTCTGCAGTGTCTTAGTCTGTCGACGGTTCATATAGCGCAGCCTTTCACTTGATTGCACAGTTCCAGAGTCAATCAGCCATGAAAGCAGTGTCCGCTTTCCAGAGTAAGGAACAAAGCCATCAGTCTCTGAATTTTGCCCCTCTTTGGAACTTCGTACCAACAAAGTACATCTGCCCAGTTTTTTACTTTTTCTTCCGTGCAGCTTATGTGAATTGGACGCAGAAGACAGTCTTTCAAAACTCTGACTTCGTAAGTTTACGCTGACTGTACCATTTTCATTCATTTTGCTCTTCAATGATTTACCACCTTGCTTTTTAAACGAAGATAGTTTCTCCTCATCGCTAACACTATCCATACTTCCATCTTCATGCCTGGTGCTTGAGGACTTCCTTGCACCAGTTTCTTTTTCAATCTCACTATCACTGCCATCCCTTTGTTTTCTTTGCATTTCTTCTTCAATCTTCTTTCTTGTCTTCCTTGTTAACTGACTGAGTACCTCATCTGCTATTGGAGTGAATGAAGCACCATCTCTGCTAGTTTGGGCCTCATCTTCCTCATGATTCACTGCTTCAGAAGTGCATCATAGCCTTATGATTGACCAGTATGCAGTTCCTACGGGTTTATATAGACTGCATC